GAGAGACCTAGGGGTTCACGTACATAATTCTTTTGAAATTTGTGTCATAGGTAGACAGGGTGGTTAAGGCGGTGTTTAGCACACTTGCCTTCATTGCTCAGATCTTTGGCTATAGGAGTTAGGACATCATGTTGAGGTTGTACAGGGTGTTGGTGAGGCCTCTTCTGGAGTACTGTGTGCAGTTATGGCCTCCGTCGTAGGAAGGATATTATTAAACTGGAGAGGGCTCAGAAAATATTTACCAGAATGTTGCTGGGAATGGAAGGTTTGAGATATAAAAATAGACTGGAAAGACTGGGACTTTTTTCACTGGAGCATAGGTGGTTGCTCTTGCTTTCTCTCCGAACTGAGTGGTGCATTGTTTCAGCTCATTTTTGGTTTCTCCCCACACCAGATTCCTACGCTGGTAAAGTACAGATCTTACCATGTGCTGATTTGAGCACCACCTAGACTCCCAATGCCCTTGCTTTGATCTTTTATCTTTCTCTTGTTTCTTTCCTATATCGCTTCATACCACTTCTAACATTCATCCTGTTCAGGAGAACCATCTGCTGCTCCCTTTTACTGTTGCTGACATCCCAGTTTCCCCTCCATTATATGTTGGCATTGGGATCTTTCCTGCCCTTGCTAAACTGGTATGGTTACCTTGCTCTTCAAAGATATATCTCTCTATCTTTGCAACCTATTGCTTTACTCCCGCTTCTTCTACTTGTCTCCAAAATTTCCAAGAGTGTCATGTCACAAATTTCCTGCATGTTTTCCCACAGTTTTGTTTGACTCTTCCTTTCTAGTTGGGATTTTTATCCTTTCAAACAGCCCTGAAGGCATTAGGGTATTGTGCAGGGTTAGCAGGATGTTGGCAGGGATAAGAGATCTCCTGTGAGGACAGTTTGGGAAGTTAGCTTTCTCTCAGCTTTCAGGAGAAAAATGTCTAAGTGGTCTCTCAATAGAGGTTTTCATGGTGAGGTTCTTCCAAAGTAGAGAGAGAAAAATTATTCCCTCTGCCAGTTTGCTCGCTAGGCAGGGATCAGAGCTTTGGTTAAAGATCCAGAAGGGACATTAGAATTTTTTTAAAATGACTTTTGTGGTTCTGAAACATTGTACTAAAAGATGGTGTGGTCTGATTGCACATTGATTTGTAAAATTGAGTTGAACCGTGAAGTAAAGTGAATATGAATATTTCAAATTGAAGACAGTGAGGAACTTGTAGAGTTGTGGAGGAAAGAAAAATGATGTGGGCTTGACAACTGCACTTTTGAAAAGCCACCACAGGCCTGACATGGTCTTGCATGCTGCAAGTTTACGATTCTAGTTAGTCTTAAATAGCGTCCTCTGTGACTGCAACCATGATGTATAATTTCCTGAACCTCTCTGCAACCTTTGACCTGGTCGACCACATCATTGTCCACCAAAATCATCTTCAGTTCAGTTGCATTGAGATGTATTCAAATCATGGTGAAGGCATTTCCAGCAGCATCATCTCTTCCCACCCTGATATTTTTAATTTTTTATATTATCAACTTTCCCTTTGCCCATCTACATCCTACCCCTACTGGAGTCAGACTCTGCTTGTATGCTGTTAACACCCTATTCTACCATTCACTAGCTCTTCAGTGTTGTTAGACTGCAATATCAGGCGTGAGCCTTGGTTTTCTTTAGTTATAGGGTCATAGAGTCAACAGCATAGAAACAGGTCCTTTTGGCTCACCATATCTATGTTGACCAACAACACCAAACTACTTTAATCCCATTTAACTGCACTTGGTCCATAGCCTATTATGTCCTGGCACTTTAAGTGCTTGTCCAGATGATTCTTAAATGTTGCAAGAGTACCTCAGGCAGCACGTTCTATATTTCCATCATCCTCTGGGTGAAAATATCTTTCCTCTGATCCCCTCTAAACCACCTACTCCTCACCTTAATCTTTTACCCTCTGGTTCTAGACACGTCTGCCATGGGAAGGAGATTCTCACGATCTACCCTATCTATGCCTCATAATTTTATATACCTCAATCAGATTCCTCCACACTCTCCTTAGTTCCAGGGAAAACTAACCCAGCCTATCCAGTCTCTCTTTAAAACTAAGACTTTTCATTCCAGGTAACATCCTGATACATCTCTTCAGCACCTTCTCCAGTGCGGTCACATCCTTCTGATAGTGTGGCAACCAGGACTGCACAGTATTCCATCTGTGGCCTAACCAATGTTTTATAAAGTTATAATAAGACCTTGTCCTTGTCTTCTGTCTCGTCTAGACTCGAGTAACCCATTATTCCTCTGACTGCCCACCCTCACGTCCACGCCCTTAAATCTTCAATTTATCTGAAACTCTGCTACATCTGTCCTAATCAGGCTGTGTTTGTCAACACCCTATTGTCGCTGTTCCATTTTGGTTCATGGTTCCTGCACACATACCATGATTTGTCCTTGTGTTTTTCTGTAATCTGCACCAGTCTGACAGAACTTGCCTGCACTCCCCTCAATTCTCCATTTCTCTAAGTCTTCCCTCCGCTGAATCCATCCTTCTTTCAGGCCACCATTGATTTGATTTACTACTGTCACGTGTACTGAGGTGCAGTGAAAAGTGTTGTCTTACATGCTTTACAGGTAGATCGTACCATACAAGTGCATCAGGGTAACAGAACAGACTGTAGGATACAGTGTTACAGCTGTTGAGAAGACGCAGAGAGAAATCAACATTAACATTAGAGGTTCATTCAAAAGTCTGACAGCAGCGTGGAAGAAGCTGTTCTTGAATTTGTTTGAATATGTACACAAACTTTTGTATCCTATTGCCCGACAGAAGAGGGTGGAAGAGCCTATTAGCAGGGTGGGAGGGGTGGGAAGGGTTGCTTTCCCGGGGCAGCGGGAAGTATAGGTGGAGTCGACGGATGGGAGGCTGGTTTCCTTGATGGACTGGGCTGTGTTCACGACTGTCTGTAGTTTCTTGGGTAGTCTTGGGCAGAGCAGTTGCCATACCCTGCTGTGATGCATCCGGATAGGACGCTTTCTGTGGTGCGTTTATAAAAATTTGTAACAGTCTTTGTGGACATGCCAAATTTCCTTAGCCTTTTGCTTTCAACTGTCTAGTCTCCACACTCCAGAACTCCTCCCTAAATTCCTCTGAACATCTGTCTCCTTCTCCTTTCTTCAAACTGATTCTGAAGTTGGTCTCTTGAACAGCCAAGGCAAAGGAGGGTATTTTGTCTAATTGTACCTTTAATGCCCTTTGGGATGTTTTCCTACATTTCCAAAAGGGCTGGACAAGATATTTAATAAGAGCCCATCATGTTGGGGAAAATATGAGCATGGATAGAGGGTTGGCTAACTAATAGAAGATAGGTGGGATCAGGGGCATATTTTTAGGATAATATCCTGTACCTAATAGAGTGCTACAGGGATCAGTGCTGGAGCTGCAATTACTTATATTGTATGTTAATGACTTGGACGAGGAAGTGAATGTGGTATCGGCAAGTTTGTAGATGACATAGAAATAGGTGGGAAGGCTAAAGATGAGGATGACACAGTCTGCAGAGGGATATAGGCAGGTTAAGCAAGTGGGGAAAAACATGGCAAATGTAAGGTAGGAAAATGTGCGGTTATGCTCTTCATCTTGAAGATTAGAGGAGCTGAATATTATTTAAATAAGGGAAAAGACTACTGAAAGCTGCAGCACAGCAGGATCTGGGGGCCCATGTGGAGGAAACAAAAAGCTAGCATCCAAGTTCAGTGAATAATAGTGAAGGCAAATAGAATGTTGCCCCATATTTCAAAGGAAATGAAAATCTGGAAGTCTTGCTAAAACCATACAAGGCACTAGATCACAGCTGGAACACTGAATGGTTTTGGGCCCCTTGCCTAAGGATAGATACATTGGCAGTAGGGGTGGTCCAGAGAAGATTCACTAGGTTGATCCCAGGCACGGGAGGATTTTCTTACGAGAGAGCTTGATAGACTGACCCTGTACATATCAGAGTTCAGAAAAATGAGAGGTGACCTCATTGAAACATGCAAGATTTCTGTGGTCCTTGACAGAATTAATTGCCCTTGTGGAAGACTCTGGGGCCAGAGGGCATAACCTCAGAGAAGGGGGTCACTCATTGAGGGGAAATGAGGAATTTTTTTTTAAGAATAGTGAATGTGGAATTCTTTACTGCAGCGGGCTGTTGAAGCTGGATCATTAAGTGCACTCGGTGCTGAGATGGACAGATTTTTGATTTCCGGCTTATGGGAAAGAGGGGGCGATGCTGTATGACTCTGACTGTATGGAAGAAAAATGGAGTTGAGGATTATCCAATCAGCTTTGAATTGCAGAGCAGACTCAATGGGGCATACGACCTACCTCTGCTCCTACATCTTATGGTTCTATTGAGAGTAGTGTATAACTCTCAGTTGACGACCACTCTTTCAAGGTATGTATTTGAAAAATGGACCCTTGGATTAAGATACCCAAAGTAACTTAGAGTTTACAATGCATTAACAAGAGAAAATTGAAGAGGAAAACCAACTCTTTTATTGCTTACCAGCTGAATATCGTGTTATCCAGGATTTACTTGGTGTGATTAATTAGCAAAATGTTCGATTTTGGACTTCCTCCTTACGTCTTTTTTTTTGTTTCCTCCCTTAAATACGGACTGGCACAGACAAGTTTGGAACATGATGTATACAGCCGCTTGGCTTCATTACAGGAAGGACTGATTCCAAAGAAGAAAGCCGCTGCAGATGATGACATGCATCGAATCAACGAGCTGATCCAGGTATGTGGATGTTTCATACGAGGTGCTTGTCCAGTAGCCTGGAAAATCTGCAAAGGTACCACCTCTGGATTGTTATCATGAGCAGGCTAAATACAGGTCTATATTAGACTTTAAAGTAAAATTTGCTTTCTCTTCAGATAATTGGTATGTGAGTGAGTCAAAGGAGTTAAAACGGTAACTTCCAAACCCACAACAACTTCCATTCAGAGGGAAAAGGACACCAGCTGCAAGGCTCTCTCCAAGCCGCTCACCATCCTGACATGGAAATATATCACCGTTCCTTCACTGTCCCTGTGTCAAAGTCATACAGACATACAGGATAGAAACAGACCCTTTGCTCCAAACAGATCACACTGACAATGTTCCCAAACTAAATTAGTCCTACCTGCCGGCATTGGCCCATATCCCTCCACACCTTGCCTATTCATGAACTTATCCAAATGCCTTATAAACATTGTAACTGTACCTGTACTTGCATCCACCACTTTCTCTGGCAGTCCATTCCACACACGAACTACTTGGCTTTAAAAAAAAAAGTTGTCCCTCATGTCCTTTTTTAAATCTTTCTCCTCTCACCTTAAAAATATGTAGTTTTGAACACCCCCACTCTAGGGAAAAGTCCCTTATCATTCACCTTATCTATGCCCCTCATGATTTTATAAACCTCAATAAGGTCACACCTCAACCGCCTATGCTCCAGTGAAAAAAGGCCCCAGTCTTTCCAGTCGGTTTTCATATCGCTAACCTTCCATTCCCAGCAACATCCTGGCATATCTTTTCTGAGCCCCCTCCAGTTTAATAATGTCCTTCCTACGACAGGGAGGCCATAACTGCACACAGTACTCCAGAAGAGGCCTCACCAAAGCCCTGTACAACCTCAACATGACGTCCTAACTCCTATAGCCAAAGATCTGAGCAATGAAGGCAAGTGTGCTAAACACCGCCTTACCCACCCTGTCTACCTGTGACACAAATTTCAAAAGAATTATGTACGTGAACCCCTAGGTCTCTC